ATTTTGGGTTCTTGGGATTTTGGGTGCTTGTGATTTTGGGTTCTTGGGATTTTCGGTTCTTGGAATTTTGGGTTCTTGGGATTTTGGTTTCTTGGGATTTTGGGTTCTTGGGATTTTGGGTTCTTGGAATTTTGGGTTCTTGGGATTTTGGGTGCTTGGGATTTTGAGTTCTTGAGATTTGGGGTTCTTGGGATTTTGGGTGCTTGGGATTTTAGGTTCTTGGGATTTTGGGTGCTTGGGATTTTGGGTGCTTGGGATTTTGGGTTCTGGGCTTTGAGTTCTTGAGTTTTTGGGGTTGTGGGTTCTGGGTTCTTTGGAATTTGAGTTTCCGACATCTTTAAATCTTATGTCTTTGCAAATTTGATATCTGAAGAGGTTACAATTTCAAAACTGTTGAAATACAAAATGCAGTAATTTTAGGATTTTCTTACTAAACTTGGAATTACTCAATTTCGCATTTTAAAGTTTTACAAAATTGTAAATTCTCCTTCAAAAAAAGTTTAATTTCGTCATTTAATTATTTTCCATTCAACGAAATAATGAAGAATAATCCTTCCATTAAATGAAACAGTAAATATACTTAATCCTCTAATAACGAATTTCCTAATAAATCATCGTTATCCAAAAAGTTTATTCAACATTATTTGAACGTTTCAAACGAACGACCGATTGTCCCCGGATTCACGGAGGCTTTGAAACAAAAGCAACGTTCGTCCGAATTACGGTTCCAATATCGCGGTGGTTTATGCTAATCGATCTTTAGCAGCTTAATGATATGCCGATTGTACGGTATGCAGTCAAACGTTATACAGGTGTACCCGCGCACGTCGAACACAGAGGGAATGTGAGCGTAATTGAAAACCAGTTTCGCGTAATTTCGATATGTTCACGGGATTCCCCGTGTCGGCGATACTTGTTTGCGGTTCTCGATGACAAAGTTGCCGATCCGATGGAAAATTTTAGAGAGCTTTCGATTAGGAGAAATGTCGATGTTCCGTTAAATTCGCTGATAAGATCTAAGACAAACACGTTTCGATACTACGATGGATATTTATGTTACTATAAATAGTGTCGGAGCGAATGTTATTTTGGATTGCTACGAATATATGACTCGTTGATAAGTAATTTTACTTCGATCATTATTTGGACACATGTTATAACTGTTGGAGATGAAAATTTCTTGTCTGCGATAGTGTCGTATATTCGTAGTTTTATTAGCTCCTGGGTACTTTTGTGGCTTTATGTGAGTTGGCAATTATCGGAGGAAAGTTGCAAATTTAGGATTTTAGGAGATTGGTGGAAATTTGGAAAGTGAGAAGGTGAGAGTTGAGATTTGGGAGAGTTGGATTTTTTATTGAGAAATATGTTATTTGGAATTTGGGGAATGTGAGGTTTTGGGAATTTTGGAGAATTTAGGGACTTTGGAGAATTTATGGATTTTGGGGAATTTCGCGAATTTTTGAGAATTTGCAGACTTTGGAGAATTAGGAGAATTTTTGAGAATTTAGGGACTAGGGAATTTGGGGATCTGAGAATTTAGGGACTAGAGAATTTGGGGACCTGAGAATTTAAGGACTAGGGAATTTGGGGACTTGAGAATTTAGGAACTAGCGAATTTGGAGACTTGAGAATTTAGGGACTAGGGGATTGGGGGATTTGAGAATTTAGGGACTAGGGAACTGGAGAATTTGAGAATTTAGGGACTAGAGAATTTGGGGACCTGAGAATTTAAGGACTAGGGAATTTGGGGACTTGAGAATTTAGGAACTAGCGAATTTGGAGACTTGAGAATTTAGGGACTAGGGGATTGGGGGATTTGAGAATTTAGGGACTAGGGAACTGGAGAATTTGAGAATTTAGGGACTAGAGAATTTGGGGACCTGAGAATTTAAGGACTAGGGAATTTGGGGACTAGAAAATTTAGGGACTAGGGAATTTGGGGACTGGAGAATTTAAGGACTAGGGAATTAGGGGATTTGAGAATTTAGGGACTAGGGAACTGGAGAATTTGAGAATTTAGGGACTAGAGTTTTTGGGGACCTGAGAATTTAAGGACTAGGGAATTGGAGGATCCAAGAATTCAGGGACTAGGGAATTTGGGCACCTGAGAATTTAGGGACTTTGGGGAATTTGAGGTGTGGGGATTTTGGAAAATTTAGACTTTGGGAAATTTGAGATATTGGAAATTTTGGAGAATTTAGGTACTTTGGGAAATTTGAGATATTGGAAATTTTGAAGAATTTAGGGACTTTGGGGAATTGGAAATTTAGCTAATTGAAAGAATTTGAGTGATTAGGAATTTGGCAAATTGGGAGATATTTTATTTTGGGATGTTGACAATTTTGGGTGAATTACAGAATTTTTAGATTTCGTAGAATCTGTAGAATTGAGAACTTGTCAAATTTTGATACTTTGAGAATTGTAAGAAAAATGAAATGTTATGTTAATTTGGTATCACACAGTAAACTATACAAATTATTAGACTTGAACTCCAAATCGAAACGTATTAAAAATCCCTCTAAAATTGATCACAACTTAAGTACAAATACCTCCCCAGTCAGACTGCAACTAACACCAGTTTAATAAAACAAAATACCCTCGTGATTTCTTAAGGAATCACCTAAAAGACACTCGATTTCTCAAAGTCGCAGACAAACGTGTCTCCACCTTCCCGTGGTGTTTCACAATCGAAACGAAACCGTGATCTCGATAAACGAATCGTACGATTGAAATGCTGCATATCTTAGCGTGCCTCCTACCCCGTTTACCCGGCTTCTTTCTCCGTCTCGTTTCAACGAAGGACGTGAGCCCACGTAACACCCGGGGCAAACGTAACAGTCTTGTTTAAACGTAACGCATGCAAACGATCCGATTGCATTAACGCGTGAAAACAGAGCAAATTATCATGACGAAATTACCTTGCAAACGAGTTCCGCGTCCCAAGGCAGGATAGAAACGAGGTCTATTACCTCGCAGGACGCGTCGAGCTTCTCCTGGACGAGATCGGCCACCTCCAGCAATACGTGCACCTGTGTACCCCAACCCACCAGTGTCACGGCGTCACCTACGTGAAATGTGCATGGTACACTGTCGTTCACAAGTATTATTATGTTTCTTACTATTCATATCATATTATTTCCTTATCTTATATTCTACGTGTTTCGACTGATACATTTTTGGACATTTTTATTTTTTACATATGTGACGTGCACACGTACTGGTACACTGTCGTTCACAAGTATTAATATATTTCTTACTATTCATATCATATTATTTCTTTATCTTATATTTTAGTTGTTTCAATTGACACATTTTTATATTTTTGGTGTTTTGGATTGGGTGCGTAGGTTTAGTTATTGGGTTATAGGTTATGTCACACATGTTGAGGTTATGTGCAGCGTGTGGAGAGTATGACGGATTATGTAGGAAGAATAATTATACTGTATTACTATATTTTACTGTGCTAAGGGAGAACGATTGTTGAGTAAAGTATTTGGTTTAATTGTATTATTACTAAAAAAACTTCAATAAGTTTTTTAATCTTGAAATTTTCAAGCTTTCAAATTTTTAATATTCTGAAACTTTTAATTACGTAAATTTTCAAGTTCCCAAATTGCCAAATTCCTAATTCTGATATTCCCAAATTCTCAAACTCCCAAATTTCCTAGTTTCTAAGTCCTCAATCCCCAAAATTCTAAGGGCCTCCAAATTCCCTAGTCCCTAAATTCTCAAGTCTCCAAATTCCTAGTCCCTAAATTCTCAGATTCACAAATTCCCTAGTCCCTCAAATTCATAAATTTCCAAATACTCACATTCTGAAATTCTCAACTCCACAAATTCCCAAATTCCCAAAATTCCCAAAATTTCCAAATTCCCCAATTCCCCAATTCCCCAATTCCCTAATTCCCAAAATCGTCGACTAATTCCCAAATTTCCTAAATTTTCCAAGTGATATAAACTATCCTAATCTAATTAAAGTATCCACTTCATACACAACCACAACTTCTATTAAACTTCTAGGACAACCCTTCTATTAAAACACTCCAATTAACTTTTGATATCGTCCTAATATACTTATTGAGCGCAGTGTACACGTACAGGCACGTTTCACCTTACGCGTCTCGCGATTGCGTGTATGATGGTGTGCGTTCTACATATCCTCTTGTCACGTATCCTGTTTCAGGACCGGTGATCGCGCGTGCTGCAACGACGATCGGTTAATGAAAGGACGATTACAAACGGTAGAACACAGAGCAACCTTCATTATCCGTATTATAACCCTTTAGTTACGTGCTGTTCCACTATGTGTACACGTGAAACACGTTTTATTATGTCTTAACAATCCTTCTGTACACTGCAGTCAGTACAAACACTGTTAAAATAATACTGTTCGCTTAATAAAATTTGAAATAAAATTCTAATAAGGTATTCTATTAAAATTTTGTTTAAATCCCTTCCTGATTTAATAGGATGCTGTATGTAAAAGGGGGATTCAAGGATATCTAGTTGCTTATAATGATGAATTATTGATTGAAAGTTGTTTGTTAGAAATAGAAATATCAACTTAGTAACAGGTGTTTCACTCGCAGCACTTTCCTGATAATTTACTGTGCTGCTACTTAGGTTGACGAGGTCTTGATATATTGCCACGGGCGGAGCGGAATTCTTGGAATTGGCAATATACAGGGTGCCTCACAATTAGTGTAGGCCCCTCAAATGGAGGGTAGTTGACGCGATTCTGAATAAGATTTCCCTCTGCAGAAATGGGGTTTGAAGCTTCGTTTTTGAAATATTGAGGAAAAACACGGATCAATAAGTCGATGTGTGGCAATTCCACGCGTGGTAATTCTACGCGTGGTGACTCGAACGCGTAGTAGTAATTCCACGCGTGGTAATTCCACGCGTGGTAATTCCACGCGTGGTAATTCCATGCGTGGTAATTCAACGCATAGTAATTCCACGCGTGGTAATTCCACGCGTAGTAATTCCACGCGTGGTAATTCCACGCGTGGTAATTCCACGCGTAGTGATTCCACGCGTAGTTATTCCACGCGTGGTAATTCCACGCGTAGTAATTCCACGCGTGGTAATTCCATGCGTGGTAATTCAACGCGTAGCAATTCAACGCGTGATGACTCGAACCCGTAGTAATTCCACGCGTGGTAACCCAACCTAATAATTCAACAGTCCAACTTACCAAACCCAAAAATCCTAAACCTCAAAAACGCCCATAAAAACCTTGAAAGCCTCGAATTCCCCGAAATCTAATAATAGTCCACAAAACCCTCGCACTGTTGCGAAACCCGAAACAAAATCCGGATCAGTGAATCGACTCGGAAGAAATGTTTACCTTCTCTGACAATTTCAGCCTTGCCAATCTCGATCTTGTAATCGGCTGTCGGCACCTCGTCGATGGCCGTGCGATACAGTATTTTTGGTTCGAACATTATGCAGGGATCCGGTTCTTCTATGCAGCTCAACAAAAGACCTTTCGCTTGTTTCGCCCCGCGGGGAATAACGATCTGAAAAGGACAATTCAGTTATATTTCATTAACCTGTTCCAGCAGGCAGGAATTTAGGAGACGAACGACCTTATTCCGCTCGAAAGCATCCCTGTTACAACGATGAAACGTGACGTTGACGTTTAACGCGTTGATTGCCACACGGATATCGAGTGAAATGATTGTTGACGTCGGTATGTGCTAGGAGTGTTGTACTGTTCGGTTCTCTGTCTACATTGTTTATTGTCCGCAGAAAATCGAGCCTTTATTCTCGATTATTTCGCGATCGGTATTCGGTATCGGGTAATTAACGGTCAATAGCAATTAACGCGGTGACTGCTGCGTTGAAAATGATTATGTAGGAAAAATTAATGACGCGGTGACTGTTGGAGATTCTCGGTGACATTACAAATTTGATGGCGATTATTTGTATTTTATATTTCAATATTTCAACAAATCTCCAACTTATAATTTTTATATAACTTATGAGTTACATTTTAACTACATATTCAAATTATAAAATAATTGGATAAACACGAACGAGATAATATTCCCAAGAACTCGTCTATTAAAGGGTGGTTTAATTCAAGCAATGGAACAGTAGAAGGTACAAGTACGTAATTACAATGCCATAGTACATATGTCCATTTCCACTGCAACGATCAACCCGTTAAGAAATGTCGAGATCGTGTGATCGAGATCTATAGTGTCAGGAAAACTTTCTTCATGCATACGTAAAGTGCATGTGTCGTACAATATTCATGAAATCTCGAACAGAAAGTTAAGATCCGCTGGCTATAACATAGAACCGCGTCATCGGGGGGGCGAAGAATATCCTTGAGCATAGAAATTTCCTTCTAAAGGTTCTTATACTCCCTGCATTTATTCATTATCGATTCGTAAGCTTTTCTTTGCATATAAAACTACGGAGAATGTCTATGAGTGTTTAAGAATGAATGAAAGAGCAACTTGATAGGAACTTAAATGTAATAAATTTTTAAGTATTGTTTCTAATGTCTGACTACATACAGGGCTCATTCTACTTCGGACAGGGTTTCGGAGGGAGACATAGTGGAAACATCTAGCGGTGAATTGAGGAAACTAGTGTTGGTGCTAGTGGTCTGAGGTAAATGATAAGGATTATCGTTGGAATTTTTAATATACTGATAGTCGGTAAAGTAGAGGTTGTTAAATAGGCTAAAATAGGGGTGGCATGTGAGTTGTGGAATTTTGGGACTTTTGGACTTTGAAATTTGATTCTTTTGAAATTTGGAATTTTAGGATTATAGAAGTTTAGAGATTTGAAAGTTTGGATGTCTGGTATGGGTAGGTAAGGGGAATTTGGTATTCTTGGACTGTGGGACTTTGGAAGTTTAGGATTTTGAGAGATTTTGAGATTTTGGGAGTTTGGGACTTTGAGAGTTTGGAACTTTGGGAGTTTAGAACTTGGGAAGATTAGGACTTGACAAGTTTGGGCTTTGGGAATTTAGGACTTGAGAAGTTTGGGTTTTGGGAAGTTTGGGACTTTGGGAGTTTGGGACTTGAGAAGTTTGGGTTTTGGGAAGTTCGGGACTTTGGGAGTTTGGGACTTGGGAAGTTTGGGACTTTGGGAATTTAGAACTTAGAAGGCTTGGGACTCTAAGAGTTTGGGACTTTGAGAGTTTAGGACTTGGGAAGTTTGGGACTTTGAGAGTTTAGAACTTGGGAAGTTTGGGACTCTGAGAGTTTGGAACTTTGGCAATTTAGAACTTAGGAAGTATAGAACTTAACAAGTTTGGGACTTTGGGAGTTTTGGGACTTGGGAAGTTTGGGACTTTGAGAGAGTTTGAAACTTTGAGAGTCTGAGCCTCTGGGAATTTAGAACTTAGGAGGCTTGGGACTTTGGGAGTTTGGACCTTGGCAAGTTTGGGACTTTGAGAGTTTAGAACTTGGGAAGTTTGGGACTTTGAGAGTTTAGGATTTGGCAAGTTTGGAATTTGAAGATTTTGGTCAATATAATAACACACACCTTTAAACCTGGCGTATGTGCAAAATAAGCTTCTGGACTCTGTGAATGATAGAGACCACCATGACCCACAGCTCCACAAGGTGTTCGTACAGTCAATTTACCGCAATCGAATTCTCCGCCACTTCTATACCGGAATTTAGCCGCTTCGTTTACTAGCTGTGAATAAAATAATTAATTTTATCAAAAAAAAAAAACTTCGGAATATCCTCAAACATCTGTGAGAACGATTTATAGCGATTTTAAATACATAATCCATATTTTCGGACTCGCAGAATAATTTGCGAACAGCATAAAATCAATATGAGTAAATATATAATAAATATATAGCATATTAATCAATAAAATCGATATTAATTGAATTTTTAAAAAAATTAAAACAAATGGCGCCATCTCTCCGGCGAACAGGGTGAACTACACACTTTTGGAACAGTACTTTAATTAGTTCCTGTCTTCTACCATTAGATGGCGGCGCGCAAGACCGAAACCCTTAAGGTAATTAGGATTTACCTAAGAATGGTTAAGAGTTTATAATAGTTTGATATGTCAAAACAATTCGGAGTTAATTGGTGTTGCACTCTGATGTAATGCAATTAATATTATAGTCATTTAGACTAAAATCAAGTATATTGATTAAATTGAATCCTGAAAACGATATATGTGGCGCCATCTAGTGGTAACATGTGGGAACTAATGAAAGTAGAGTTTCAAAAGTGTGTAGTTCACCCCGTTCGCCGGAGAGATGGCGCCACCAGTTTAAATTTTCTAAAAATCCAATTTACACTAATTTTATTGGCTTAATTAACTATAATATGCATCAAATTACATCGGAGTGTAAGGTAAATTAACTTCAGAATGTTTTGACTTCACTAAACTGTTATTAATTTGCCGTTTTCTCGGAAAACCGTCATGCTCTAAATCACTGAATGATTTACCCCGTACTACATCTATAATTATACCTGATCGAATGCAGGGAATATGTAATCCGCGAATTGAATTTCTGCGATCGCTGTTACACCAGCAGTGGCTAAACCAATTCCAAAACCAGCGATGCCTTGTTCGCATAACGGCGTGTTAAAAACTCGATCGCTTCCGAAGTCTTTTTGGAGATTCATGGTGCAGCGAAAGACTCCTCCGAATGCAACGTCCTCGCCAAATATCACTGAATTAAAATAAAACAAATGTAGCTGGACATTTTTTATCAACTGTAAACAGTAAAAATTGTATTAAAATATCAGATGAAAATGGAACAATGGCAGTAAAAAAAGAGTTAAAACAGTAATATTATGAATACAGTAAAAAATGTCTGCCAAATGAAAACTTTGAATAGTCATGAAATTTGTATACTAAAAAAATGTAAAGAATGAAGAAATATTAAAATGTAAGATGAAAATAGAGCAATGTCGATTGAAGAATAGTAACAACTGCTATTATTATTACTAGAAATAAATATTAGCCAAATAAACAATTTTTAATGATCTCAAAATTTGTTTATTAAAAAAATATGAAGAATAAAGCTATATTAAAACGTAAGATGAAAAACAAGCAATGACGATAAAAGAATGATATCAACTACTATTACTATTACAGAAGAAAATATAATCTAAACAAAAATTTTGTATGGCCGCAAAATTTGTTTACTAAAAAAATAATAACAATAAAACCACATTAAAATACAAGATAAAAATACAGCTATTCTGACGATTGAAGAATAGTAATAAAATAGTAACCTAACCAGTATTATTATTACAGAAAAAAATATCAGCCAAATAAAAGCTTTGTATCGCCTCAAAATTTATTTACTCAAAATCCATTTCTTTAGTTTACCAAAAAAAATATGCAATATTAAATTGTAAGATGAAAAGCAAGCAATGACGATATAAGAATGATAACAACCACTATAATTATTACAGAAAAAAAATATCAGCCAAATAAAAAGTTTGCATGGTCTCAAAATTTGTTTGCGAAAAAAATATACACAAAAGTTTGCATGTGCGACAGTGAAAATGCTATCAACTTTGTGAGATAAGATAAGAGCTTGTTTAGTAAATAGTCGGACTGTGTCATAGTATTGCATAAACCTGAATTCTGTTTTTATTAATAAACATTTAAAATGGAGGTAGAAGGAAAATAATTAATTGTTTCGGATACCTGCGTCCGGATCTTTGGTCAACACTGATCGAAGTCCATTATTTATTGCCTGATACATATTCAACTTTTCAGTCTCACCTGAAATATACCTTGTTACGGTTACTATACAGAAAAATAATTTAATTTGAATAAATATTTTGCACACACATTTGCACAAAATATTTTACACGCTTTTTAATTACTGTACAATATAGGACTTAAAGTAAAAAGCTTTCATTCTTTTAAGTAAATAGCTTTGTGTAATTTAATGAAACTTGGTAATTATTATAAATAAACAATTTTAGAAACTTTAAGTACTACAAGGTTGTTAAAAATAATTTGTGAAAAGTATTTAAGACGTACTGAAACGAGAATAATATTGTAAGTGAAAATTTTGCTAAAATATTGAAAATGAAAATTTTATTGAAATATTGAAAACGAAAATTTTATTAAAATATTGAGAATGAAAATTTTATATTATTTATTGCAAAAGGAGAACTTTGTAATTATTATAAATAAACATTTTCACAAACATTACAAATATTACGAGGCTGTTAAAAATAATTCTTGAGAAGTATTTAAAAAATACTATAACAACAGTAATATTGTAAATGAAAATTTTGCTAAAATATTGAAAACGAAAATTTTATTGAAATATTGAAAACGAAAATTTTATTAAAGTATTGAGAATGAAAATTTTATATTAAATATTGTAAAAAGAGAATTTTGTATTTAGACATTGAGAACGAAAACCTAGTACTAAACAAATAGACTGTACATTAAAAAAGAAGCTAAATTTTACAATTTTACACAGAAACTAAATTTTACTTATTCCTGTATCAAATATCAGAGAATAAATTTTATACTAAATAAATAAATCCTGCACTAAAAAACGAAGCTAAATTTAATTATCAACTATGTCCTATTAGTATTAAAAAAACTACTGAATGAGTATTAAAAATTAGTCCAGTAAACAGCAAAGTAAATTAAATATCCCACAAACAATCTCTATATTAAAACCTAAATAAAATAAATTTCTCAACAAATTAACAGAATTCCACATAAAAAATAATTTCCTAAAACACGCAAATTTTAACCCAAATTGAATTGCAACCATAGGTAATTGTAACTTATTTGTAACTTAATTCATTAAAAACTAAAATGTCTAATCAAAGACTAAAATGAACTAACTAATTTCACTTACCAGGAATGTTGTTACTTTTGTCAGCATAGTAGTTGAAATGTATCCGTCTGACATTTTCACGTGGCAACCATTCCGCAGCATAATTCCAGAGCAGAGACACACGAGTGTTCAGTAATCGAGTAGAAAATTTACTGAGTACCATCGTGGTCGAACGTCGATTGAGAGTTCTCCACTGTGATAATGAATAAACCTTATCTTTTCGGCGCGATTTACATACAATACTATATTTTAGATCGCGCAAGCCCCCGTGCTCGACCTAAGTCGAATTTCGTAAACAGCTTTGCTCCGACGTTCCTCGACGTGTGAATGTGCTCGTATGTAGACAGTGCATGCAGTGTATTTGCGGTCATACGTGTTTTTCAAGTTCCCTTAGACAAGTCCCCTCTAATATCAACTATTTCTTACATCAATGTTATCTATTTCTATGTTACCTCTTTTGTATGTCGTATGAGAGTTTCTGGTGTAATGTTTGCAATGGAAGTAATTACACTCTTTAAGAGTGTAGTTTTAACTACTAAACTACTTACTATATTTTTTAAATTAATCTGGGAGAGTTGAAACATTGAATTAAATTTTTGTAAGAAATTTCCCCATTTTTGTCATATGAGAAATTGTTATGTACGTCAATTTCTCATATGGCTCATATGAAAGTTTAAGATTTTGTGAATCTTTTGATTGTTTAAATAATGGAAGTAGTAGATTATAAGAAATGGTACATTGACTTATGTTTGATCAGCGCGAGATTAGAGGAATATGGTTTCTAGTGAAACTTCTGATAACGTGCTGATTAGCGTAATAACGCAATGTTGTGTAATACCGAGGCTGAGTTTATCTACCGAATGTTGTTGAAAGGGAAACATGATGCATACTTGGCGTTTAGTTGGAAGTCTTTGTAATTATGGTATAATATTTGAAAATTGAATATTTGGAAATTAGAAAAGGAAAATAATTAGAAAATAGTTTACTGTTTAATAAACACAGCATTAAATTTTTTTAGTTTCAATTTTTAATTCTGAACTGTTATAGAATTTTTTAAAGTTTGAGATGACCGCCATTTTGGATAACAGGAATTTCTTCAAAATTTCTTTGCTAGTAACCTATTATTTTGTGAAGTCACAAAGTTGGAAAGTTTTCCACATAATTCTATCAAAATCATAACATCTCAAAATTTAAAAATCTCAAAATCTTGAAGTCCTAAAACGTCAAAATCCCAAAGCTTAAAAATCCTAAAGTCCCAAAGTTCTGAAGCTAGAAAATTCTAAGGCCTCAAACTCCTAAAAATCCAAAACTCTCAAAATTCTAAGTTTCAATCTTTGCAGAAACTCCCAAAACTCTAAAGTCCCAATTTACTAGTTTAAAAAAAATAAATTATTTATAGAACTCTAACTATTTATCTTTTTTCTAATCGTAACAAATTTATAGTGTACTTACTTTTCATGTGCAAAGTAGACTTCAAATGTTAGTTCCTTCGACGTTGCAAGATGGCGCTTCACCACCAGATGGCTACGTTCCACCACCCGCAGCTAAACTTAAAAATTTTCTTAATTTTTTATTTATTGTATTCGTAAAATAAATCTAAACAAAATAATGACCAGAATATTCATCATATTTTGTAAAATTAAAACAAAACTTGTTCACGTTACTTATATAAAAATATCTGATTTGAATAAATCTAGTCTAAGTTCAATGATCAAACTTACGAATAGTATTCAAGTAACAAGTGCATGAAAAATATCAATTAATAAAAATGAAATTTCATTCACTACCTTCCATAAAAATTAAAACTACAAATAGTGAAACAGATCCAAACATAATATCCAAAATCAGTCCAACAAAATTAAAAAATACAATCGAATTAAAAACTAGAAATCTGTGTGCACAAGATAGAAAACAACAAGTTATATATTTTTCTAACTATTTAATGTACAAGTAATCATTTATTTCATTAAATCCGTGGTATCGGTACAATGATGATCTTTTATTCGTCCCGTAACGATGACTCCCAAAATATGTTTCTTTCGATTGAACCATGTAGGAAGAATGATCTATAAGAATGGTACAAACGTTCAATATTTTATGACTTTTTTATTGAATGTTTCTAACTGTTATCAAGAAACAATGTGACAATGTGATAAACTGGTCTTTGTATATTAAAATTTTTTTCACACAAACGTAACCGATGATATCAGTTGCTCACTTCCTTTTTTTTATTTTAAATGATCAGCACATTTTTCTTATTACTTTACACAAGCTTGTACCAGTCACTTATGGCGACCTCAGTAAATGCGTATGTATGTATGTCGGTGTAGTTTATGATCTTTTACCTAGGATACGATTTTTCGTTTGATCTATCAACAATTCTGGGGATTGTAGATTTATAAAAGCTGTCGGTATAAAAAACGTTCCGTTGACGTAATTCAAATTGGTTAGGGTGGACCAGGTCCCCGTAGGTGTAGGCTCAACTTAGATAGAATCTCGTTATATTGCCGTTTATCGCTATTTTAAGAGTGAAGATTTCAGGTTTTCATTTGTGGATACTTAGTAAGTGAGAAGTTTGAGGATTTGAAAGTTGGAGATTTGGAGGTTTGGGAATTTAGTAATTTTGAAATTTGGTATTTTGGAATTTTGGAATTCGAAATTTTGGAATTCGGAATTTTGGAATTCGGGATTTTGGAATTCGGAAGCTTGGAATTGGGTAACCTGGAATTCGGAATTTTGGAATTCAGAAGCTTGGAATTCGGAAGCTTGGAATTCGGAATTTTGGAATTCGGAAGCTTGGAATTGGGTAACTTGGAATTCGGAATTTTGGAATTCAGAAGCTTGGAATTCGGAAGCTTGGAATTCGGAATTTTGGAATTCGGAAGCTTGGAATTCGGTAGCTTGGAATTCGGAAGCTTGGAATTCGGTATCTTGGAATTCGGAAGCTTGGAATTCGGAATTTTGGAATTCGGTAGCTTGGAATCCGAAATTTTGGAATTCAGAATTTTGGAATTCGAAAGCTTGGAATTCGGAAGTTTGGAATTCGGAAGCTTGGAATTCAGAAGCTTAGAATTCGGAAGCTTGGAATTCGGAATTTTGGAAATTGGAATTTGGAATTCCAGAATTTGGAAATTTGCATAAATCTCAGAATCATGATCTCAAAACACATTTTCAATCTGCAAAACTTAGTAAAATATTCGACTATTCTTATAGCAATAACTTGAGGGGTCCAGGCCCACATCACGCCACTTACAGGTAGAAAAAAGAAAAAAGTAATCAATTCGAGTCAAATTAGTCCTCCCTTCGCTAAATAATTATTCTAACCAATTCTCCAGTTATTAAATTCAATTCTTAAACCTTATTGTTATAAACTATTGCTTACTACCGTTGGTTAGAGTAATTGTCTAAAGTCAAAATGTCTCGAACTTATTGGCCTAAGGAAATATAGGGCCTCTCCTGTCTACATTGTGTATTCCATATATTCGTTTAATTATTTATTTTCAATGTTGTGCTATTATAAAGCTTCAAAAAACTGAAAGTATACGTTTAATTGATATTTCGAAAAATTCGATCGTTCTCTAAAAATTTGGTCCATGTACGTGTGAAGATTGATGCAACATTCGAAACTCGTACCACTTAAAATTTGTCAATTATATTGATCGTACGAAATGAATAAAACGAAAATATCGTTTGTACGCAAATGCTTATCAGCATTTACTTAAATGCTCTCTGACATTTTTATTTGATCCATCGAATGTGTGTTCAATGTGCCATAAGTAGGTACAGCTGTGTGGTATTACACGAAAATATTTTATTTTCTTAGTGTAGCTTTTCAGGCCTCGACAAGACAACACGACATTTAATTCGTTCAAGTCTTCAAAGTGACGCACTTTAGGATCAAATCATAGGCCTCCTAACAATAGATAAATAGGTATAATTGTAAAGTTGTAGAGATTCATAATCATTTGACTAACCACAAAATTCAAAGTAGATCCATAACATCCCTTTCATTTTCTTTTTAAGATGTCATATTTATTTAAATTCTTTCAGTATAAAATTGCATTTAATAAAATTAACTGGTTTTCAATGTTTTATCTTCTTCTTTTGTTAATTTTGTTAATAAGTTCAAGAAAAAATGTCACAATTGCAACGGTCCATAAAAATGATAATTCTATTTTATCAAATATATTATAAAGCTCTACAACTTCTAAACCAAGACCATGTATCGTGTATTTTAGGATATTATTAAGTAGGTATAGGTAGACATTGCCTATATACAACCGCAACATTGTTGCGTATGCCTACTTCCTGGCAATCCTAAGTAAAGCTTACAATTTGAATAAACTTTTTTTTCCTCGATAATTATGTCTTTAATAGGTAAGTAATAATTCTATTAGAAATAACAGTACAATAATCTGAACTGTTATTATCCTGCATCATTTACATATTATATTTTCTAGGTTTTATTTTTTTTTAAAGTATTCTCATACAACGCTTGCATGTTTTGGTTCTGAGAAATAATTAAGATAATCATTTTTACTATTATAACTGGCCAATAAGTATCTGCCATTTTTTTTTCTTATATTATTAATCTATTTATCATATATACAGATAATATACAATAATCTCGCTTAATATAAGTAATATTGTTATCCTATTTTCGATAATGTTATTATAATTATACGAATAGAAACTTGACCGCATCTAATCCTTCAATGTGCGCTATTGATGCACACTGGAATATAAATACACTTTTTTTTTAATATAAAATTTGTATAATCTACATGAATCACTTTAAGTATATCTTCTCTTTTAATCACAAAAGATATAAATGTAATAACTACTATGCAAGCAAGGGGGGCCATGGGCGGTGTCACTCTGGCAGTTTTATCATACAAATAATTCTAAACCTGGATTTTTCGTTAAACGAAAAAATCAGTTCGTTTAAAAAATTTGTGCTAACTGTTTTATATAGAATTTATTTCCCCATGCTGATTTCATCTTTTGCGTGTACATTTCTACAACATTTGATACCTCTGTAAAATTTGATTTTATGCAATTTTCAATTATAAACCTCAAAAGTCTTTCGTTGTTAACAAAAATAATAACAAAAATGGTAACTGTTTTATTTCAGATTTAGTTACAAGTATTTATACGCATCAAAATGTGAAAATAAACTCTATATGTATTACTGATGTATCTTCAGAGGTTTTGTTTATTATTCATCAATTTTTCAAACAGATATAAAGAAAATGATTCGTGTTCAAGTAGCTTTATAGGACTCAAAGTATCTGTGCATATCGTGTATTTATTAATTGTAAACGTTGCAACGAATAAGAAGAATCGTTTGCTTATAAATAAAAGCATATACAGTACATTACATAAACATAATTTGAAGTTTCAGTTGACGTATGCATACTTTGCATATGCAAAAACTCAGGAGATACACCATACAAAATAGAGTCTCTCCATCCAGTGTGAAGCCCGATATGCCCTCGTTTCTGTGTGTCATCTGTTGTCACTAATCATCTAAAGGAAAGGAACACTATATGCGCTATATCCATCAATAAGCAGGGTAAATTCACAACAGATGAACGTCTTATCTATTATTTTTTTTTCTCGATTAAAACTTATTTACAAAAGTTACTGTACAACTTGTATTTCTGTTGTGATGTAGGTCCATCATAGCCTTTTTGAATGCGAGTAGACCGGTTCTGAGGTAAAGATTGTATTGCAGGGAGAACTTCGAGGCGAAGTCTTTGTGAAATAGCACAGCACATTTTGTCAAGCAAATATTCCAAAATCATAAATTCGTCAAGTAAGTGTTACATAGTTTTTCGTAAGGTACACTAAGCTCTCTAAAAATCATTCCAATATTGTGCTGATATTCAGGCTTGAAGCCTGTATCTTTTCAATATAAAAGTCTATAAATGTGCTATACGATTTGTGATATTTGTTAATGAAAATCCAGAAAAAAAAAAGAAAATAGTATCCTAAACCTATGGTATGTTTTGTCAAATATTATTTCTGTAAAAACTTATTTTGGAATGAAGAAATGGATAAATGGCAATCTGTATAAAATGTGTGTAAATTTATTGATCGTATTGCACATTTACCGTTATCAAACAAACATGTCCCTTTAGTATTTAATCTATATGTAAAATTCCTCGTGGAAAAACGTTACTTCTATATTATGTTCGGTATTAAAAAATTCGATTACCTTCTTTTGAACACAATTAATATAATTGTGATATCCGCGGTGGTCAGTTCTGGAACATATGCCCGGCACAATGTTAATTAACGCGTTTTATCTATTGGAAATAAAAAAATTCCCAATGTCGAAGGACTAAACATAATCCGTGCAATAACATCTTTACAAATAAGCACTACCAAACGTGGTGCTTCGTTTCCGCCCTATTAATTAAAAGTCATCGTCGTATTTAAATCTAATAATATGCCCTAACTTCGTCAATAGGAATATTATAATTAGAGCTAAGCTTTTTGTACCATTGAATTAGGTGAAAGCACCCACAGTGACCCCAATACGTTCTTTTTCAAATCGCTCACTACAATTATTTCCGCGTGGATTTAGAAATATATTTGTAGTAAGATGCAAACCTGTCTCTTGTTGATCGTTTTATTTTTTTCTTTTTTCTTTCCTTTTTTTACTCGTCTTAACGTTAGGGTCGCAATTTGATTATTTCTCGTGAGAGATGCCCGTTATTATTTCTTTCTTTTTATTCGAAGAGTGCTAATATATCGTCACTTGATGAGGGGTTACCACTGCTAGCGCCGCTACTGGGAGGGGTGTTCAGATCTGGTGGATCCAGATACGACAGGAGTTCCATTGGATCCACAACATTGTCTGGCAAAAGCTGAAATACAGAATTATCACATTTAAATAATAGTTAAACCAAGTATAATCCTTATCAGTTTCTGTCACACTGTACTCTCGCTGAATGACCGATAAATTAAACTTACATTCAATGCCTCTTGACCAGTACCCTCGCCATCGATTACTGCAGCTGGGTCGAAATTTAAGTCAGATGGTATGTCTGCAGTATCGTTATTTATGTTTGTACTCGTATTACCAGATGTATTATGATTTCCCGTGGATTCCTGAGATGCAGGGGGAACACTCGGTGGACCACTATTTCCACCACCTGGTGTGTGGGGCGTATGGGGGGTGTGAGGTGTATGTGGTGTATGAGGCATCTGCGCAAACAAAAATATTTGTCAAAAACAATGAATATATTATACTTTATTTCTCTCGTTTAAAATTGTAACTTACCTGATCGTTAAGCGATTTCTCCATAGCGTTGAGAGGGTCTAAAGAGTTGACTGATTCATTCAGATGCGACAGTGGACCTGCACCGTTTGTGTAATCATTATTGGTATTCGTATTCGTTCCGGAATTGATATCGAAGGATCCTCCAGACGAATTCCGATGATTGATGTTATTATTCGCGTACGTGGATGGTGTGTTATTCATCATAGAGCCGCTTACAATGCTACTCATGTCGGGCGGTATGTACGGACTCATTGCCTGATTCATATCCCAATTATTCATCGTTGGCATGTTCATACTTCCAGGTGACATGGCCTTCGTCATCCTCTTGCAATCGCTTTCTTCTTCGGACTTAATACCAGTTAAATTCTTCGCTGGTTTCCAATTCGCGACCGAGTCTATCGTCACTTCTTCAACCTCCGCCGTGTTTAATGTGTTCAGTATGCCCCACATGTACTGGTCAACCTCTAAACCTTCTAATTGGGCAGGTTTCCTGTAAACGAATTATATGATTTAGCATTCAAATTCTCGAGTCTGCAAATATTCTCAGATTTTCAATCAGCCAAAAGGTTTGATATGAAATAAATGTTACTCACGTGCATACAGGACATCTCCACGATCCTCTTTCACAATTTAGCTGTAGGTACGACTCCAAATCGAAGCACTGAATATGTTTACAATCGTGTCCCCTAGCTGGCAGTGTAATACGTTTAAAGGTAATAGGACATTTTAAGGATACCTGTGAACAGTAATCATTTCAAAAGTTAACAAACGTCATAATCTGCAGGCTGTTTCATCTGAAGATAGCCTCCTAAATATCTCCTACACTTGTGATGATCTTTGATACCATTCAAATTAAATATGAAACATATCACTACTGCAGGAGATGTTCAGATAGACCTAAATGTTGAGCACAAGTATTACCTTAAGTGCTGTCTGTTCTACAACATCCTTCTCCGACTGTATACCGTTATTGGAAATAGTATTACTGAAATTTCGTTTAATTTTAGTGATACAATGTTCCGCCGTGAGCAGCCTCTTACGTAACAATCCCTGAAGCACGCTTCGCACGCTTGGTCGATGAACTAATTGTAGCACGAATAAATGGGACTGCAAATCAAACAAAATTATGATCTCCTTGCATTTAACAAAAGTATGAATATAATAAACGATCAGAAACTTACACAACAACACGCCGACACCGTGATCTGTATTGTGTTCCTTCCTGATTGACAAACGTCCTTCAGGTATAAGGGCTTATGAGACGTTTTATTTTCACCACGATCGATAACCAACGGCGTGGCGTTTACGGATACTTGCACGCTCGCGGGCCAGTTCGTGTTCATTTGCCTGTCTTCGTGGTGGAAACACTTGAGCTGTAGTTCCAGGTCGGACCGCCACATCAACGTTTGATGCACCGTGGACTTCAGTTGGAATACGTGGTTGCTTACAGCCAGATTATGTTCTAAGCGGAAGGGTGGAAGAATGATGCCATCCCTCACGGGGAATGTTAATCTTAACTCATCGTCCTCTGCAAACAAGAAAATGGAAGACATTTAGATGGATGCAAGTTTAAGACGGATTAGCGAAGGGTAGACTAAGTGTTCGCCAAGGAGCTTATGGGCACTGGTGTGCTGATGAAGAGTTAAAAATTTTTAAATCTGGAAGATCAAATATCTAACAACTCAATACAAGATTATTCCATCTCGCGAATATTTGGTTGATACCCAAATGACCTCCCAAGCGACCACTTGCCCATTCGTGCCGTACATTCCGACTTACTCTGAATATTAACCGGTGACTTCATATCGTTGAAATTAGGCTTGATATCCGGATTCGGACTGATGTAAGGGGGCATACTCGTAGCCGGGGTGAGCGGAGGTGTCGGATTCCCAGGGATAGGGCTGTGCTGGTAACTCAGTGTCCCTGCTCCCGTCGTTCTCATCGCCGCGACGTCCTGTTGGTACTGACTGGTGACAGCCCCGGTTGCCCCGTACGAGGACGCTGCACCGGCGTATCCCGTGTTCGGTTGGTGTCCAACGAATTGATTGCCAACCGTGGTAGGTCCCATGCTAACCGGTATGCCATTGCTACCGTAGTATTGGTTGGTTGCCGCCTGACTCGCGGTCTGATACGAAGGCGCTGTTTGCCTCATGTTGGCGCCTCGTATCATAGAGTTAGGCCCAAAGCCGGCAGCCGACGGATTCATGCTCTGCATCGGTTGATACTGAGGCTGAAAATTCGGCCTCGCTGCCGCGGGGTAATTGGTCGGGTACTGCGACGTCGCCATGCCGTTGAAGGTTGGTTGCATCGCGGCTGGGTTGGGAGCCGGGTAAGGACCCTGTTGCCTCTTTTGCGCCATGTGCATCGCAGGGTTTGGGTAAGGTGCTAGTCTTCTTGGATAGCCCTGGTGTGGTTGAGCCTACAATTATAACGAATATTCATGAGTTCTTTTAGGAAAAATTACGGTGCTCTTTGCAAGGGTTATATCAGAATTTCTACGACCTTGAAGACTCTACTGAGACTCTACTTCAAGACTCTATACCTCAACCGACTGTAAAGAAACCTTAGACAATCATACGCAGTTCAAACTAATCAACATGTTGCCCACATACTCTATGATGAAATTGCAAAATCTTCAAGGCTACATGAATACTGTATTAGAAATTTGATCTGAGAAGGATAGTTATAAGACAAAAGGATGTTTACCTGCATGCTCATCTTGTTCATCTGCATGTTGTTAGGTCCCATCATATTGTTCATGCCCATATTACCCATGTTACTCATGGAGCTCATGGGGGTCATTCCGTTCATACCAGTCATACCGTTCATACCTCCCATCGACATAGGATTCATAGAGTTCATGCCATTCATACTGTTCATCGAATTCATGGAATTCATAGAGTGCATTGGGCTCATCGTGCCCATGCTGTTAAAGTTGCTCATCCCGACTGGCCCCATTCCGGCCATTGGTCCTCTTTGGGCGTACCCTGCGTTGTACGTTTGGTGGGGGATTCCATGTTGGCTCTGCATCTGTAATTAAACAATTAAATTTTGTATGTTTATTTTGATGAGCAGTTGATGGAAACAGCAAGGTTTTTTAACTTTTATAGTGTTCAATCTCAACAAGATGAACCTTTGCAACTGTAAGCAGTTGGACCAGTATTCTTTCCACATGCCATCTTTCCAGCAACACATGGTTATTGTAGGATCAGTTACGTACAAATCGGAGATGAAGTAGAAGGAAAAGTACCTGATTGAATTGCGAGGGGATGTCTTGGCGGTCCTGCATGGCCACCACGCTTGCAGTGGCGG